GGGTTGATACCAATTTCTAGCATACCTGTCTTAAGTCTTTTTCCAGTCTATGCAGACAAGATATCCTAGCCACCAAAGTCTGTAATGGCTTACAACCTCGTCAACTGACTTGCCTCTTCTATCTAAAACTTTACACCTAACCTGTTAAGTTCCTTGTCATACAGTCAATGTTATGAAGGCATCATTGGTCAAACACCTTAAGCCTTTTCGCGTTCTCTTGATAGTTACGTTCGACAGTTAGTGGGACCAAGCAAACTCGGGATGCGAGATACATTTTAAGAGATGTAACCGATTAAGTTAAACAGAGTATCTCACTGACTACTGACAAACATAACAGGTTGTGATATCCTCTCAATTCATTCAGTAATTGCAGTATTCAATATAACCCGATGACTGGATAACCAGCTACCTTGAGTGCATTACATGTTAATTAATTTGTTCATCATGGCATACAACAGTTTGAGATTCTTATTCAAATGATGTAGAATATCTATAACTCAGAAGTTGGATGATGATGTGTTTTCGGACTGCATGTTGTCTGGTGGCGTAATCTTCATTTTTATTCGTCTTGATAATTATAATCAGGTAAATACAGTCTATTGATATATGTGAGCACTATTCTAGAAATTAAAAGCTCACTTCAGCACAGTCAATTTTAGGGGAAACAGTAAAGTAAAACTTGTGTAACTCGTTGCAAATACTTGCTGATGGCAATGAATTGACTGAAGCAGGAAACTGTGGAGGATTGGATTTCGATTTCTTCATGAGAATCGACTGTCCTAGGTTCACTTACTGGCGGGGTTGTGGGTACTCAACTCTAAGAAGTTCCATACTACGACCAAACAACTGTTCCTTGTTTTCACTGGTTCTCAAACTGTTGTCAGTCCAAGATGAATTCTAGCTTCAAATACTACTTACTGATTTGACTAAACCAATTGTGAATATCACTACATTAAGCAGTCTGATAGTTAATAGTACAACTTATCTGCAGACATGAAATGACAGTCATATATCATGATAAGAATTCATTGATTTCCGTTCATGTAGACATTCATAGTCTTGAGTTTGATTTGAAAAAACTTTGAATTTGTACAACAAGCAGCAACAGATAAATTGACGACCGTAATAAAGTCTTGGAAAACTTATGTGAACCAATGAAGAACAAAAAATGATATTGACTTGGTCTATGAACAAAAACATCACATCCCTCAAGACCTAAACAACTTGATTAATCTTTGGAGGTCAAAGAACCAAGCCTCACAATATACAGAATTGTGAACACCTACTTTAACGACAAAACTAGTCAACATTACAAGAGGAACTTATAATGTGACCTCTCCAACCGAAAAAATCTTGTCTATCAAAGTATCACGACCATTCAAAACTGGGTCATGGAATCAATCATAAGAAAATCGATTATAAAAGTTGATACAAACAAACGAATCATCCAATCAAAATGGCTAGTCAATATTCGAAAATTGGAATGAAACAATTAGCCAATCCGATGAATACAAGTTTAAACGACTGATTCACCTGATTGATGTTGACTTGTATGAATCCTCATGATAAAACCTTCGTATCCATCTAATTAACAAGAATATCACCGAATATGTGTAGGGAAAACACTTTTGAGTTGAAATTCATATCACTTATAGACCATCATATGGTTTATTCATACAGTAGAGCTGATGGAAAATCTGTCTGTCTGTATAAAGTTATCCAAAAAGGCGGAGTCATATCCGCTCCATCCACTTAACTTTTATTGAGTTAGGGAGTTACGGATTCAAATTTCACCTACACCTGTAGAGCTATTTTTTTCTTCTGGACAGTCAAACAGTGTTGTAATTAACCCCCCTTATTGCGCAAGTGCTCTCATTTGTCATAGTCGAACAGATAAGGTATTGACATTCTGAAGAGATGATAATATAATGTTGGGTAACAATTGTACAATTGTACGAAACATGTTACGCGTTTTAAAAAAAAATATTCTAGTTATTGTGAAATGTTCCAAGAAAATTGAACAGTATGTGGACTTAATCACTTTTGTTTTAACTAACTGAACATAATAGATAATACGCGACTACTATTATTACCATTGTTATTTTATTCATCTATATGTGTAAATCAGATGAAAATTGTAAATAATTTATTTGTTCCAAATAAAGATTTGATGGTGTTACGTTGTTTCACGTGTAACAAAAACATATCCCATGACTTTAACCAAATTAAGGCTTGTAAGCCTGCTTGCTTGATTTTCAGAGGATTCAATTAATCTGAAGACAAAGTTAGATTGTGAATGTTTTGTTTTACCGCTAATAGCTTAGCGTGTAGATTAAATAATCAAATCTACTGCCAACTTTTAATCCACTATGAATTTAATGTCACTTTATCTGTCCATTTCACTAATGTTGAACCTTGAACATTGTAAACCTATATTGTCTATCTTCACTCAATTGTTATAGTTGACCTTTTTTCTTCCTTATTTGTATTGGTAACATTTGTTTCCCGATTCAAATTTGAAACAAGCACCGAATATGAAAAACGCAAGACTTTATGAATTTATAAATTTCAGTAGTACTCGTCAGCTGAATACTCTAAAAACTCGATTATCTATACGGTTAAGCAATGGAAAAGAAACATACATATACATACATACATACATACATACATACATACATACATACATACATACATACATACATACTTACATACATACATACATACATACATACATACATACATACATACATACATACATACATACATACATACATACATACATACATACATACATACATACATACATACATACATACATACATACATACATACATACATACATACATACATACATACATACATACATACATACATACATACATACATACATACATACATACATACATACATACATACATACATACATACATACATACATACATACATACATACATACATACATACATACATACATACATACATACATACATACATACATACATACATACATACATACATACATACATACATACATACATACATACATACATACATACATACATACATACATACATACATACATACATACATACATACATACATACATACATACATACATACATACATACATACATACATACATACATACATACATACATACATACATACATACATACATACATACATACATACATACATACATACATACATACATACATACATACATACATACATACATACATACATACATACATACATACATACATACATACATACATACATACATACATACATACATACATACATACATACATACATACATACATACATACATACATACATACATACATACATACATACATACATACATACATACATACATACATACATACATACATACATACATACATACATACATACATACATACATACATACATACATACATACATACATACATACATACATACATACATACATACATACATACATACATACATACATACATACATACATACATACATACATACATACATACATACATACATACATACATACATACATACATACATACATACATACATACATACATACATACATACATACATACATACATACATACATACATACATACATACATACATACATACATACATACATACATACATACATACATACATACATACATACATACATACATACATACATACATACATACATACATACATACATACATACATACATACATACATACATACATACATACATACATACATACATACATACATACATACATACATACATACATACATACATACATACATACATACATACATACATACATACATACATACATACATACATACATACATACATACATACATACATACATACATACATACATACATACATGTAGAGTATTAAGCTAACGAGTACTTCTGGAATTTATGAATTCATTAAGTCTTGTTTTTTTCGTATTCGTTACTTGTTCTAAATCTGTTTACATGCTTTGTAATTTGAATTGTCCACATGAACATATGTCTGTGATTCGGACAAGTTGTTGTCTAAGCGGAGGTAGTTTCTGTTTTCTTCGTACATTTCCTGGATTGTTTCACTGAGTTTGCCCGTTAGTCTATCCATCATTGACCTTTTTCCCCTTTTACTTAATGATGTTAACTTATAAATTGTATTATTTTAAAGCGATACAGTTGAATGTGCTTTTCTGGGTACTTTAACCATGTTTATTTTTACGGTATCACTTTTTAAATCTTTCAATGGGGTTGTAGCAGATTTTTGCTTTAGAATACTTCATAGTTAGCTTGTAAAACTACTGTCTGGAAAAAATCCTTGATAATCTGCTATAATTCCCAATTTTATAGTATCATTTGATTGTGTGTTTTTTACGTTTGAAATGTCTCTTTTAGATGCACTCAAAGAATACTTGTTTCTTATTTCCAGTAACTTAGGAAAGATGGAATGCACCTAATAATAATGGTTTCATTGCTTCCCAGCTTCCTACTTAAATGATATTTTCTTTATATATCATATTCTGCAGTTGCATTCTTTTAGGATTCATGAGACAGTTCTTTGAGTTTTTTTTGTTGCTAAAACTGGGAAAGATATTCACTAGAACCAAACAAAAAATATCGTGAACTACCGATAGTGCCTGATGAGTTCAAGTTGATTTTCAGGCTTTTTTTGAGTCCATTTATGGGAATGATTTTACGTCTTATTAAAGCCTTCGGCCATTTATAACTTTCAAATCTAGCCGACTATTTCTAGGCATGTGTATTATTCGAGGCCTATCTGCGCAGGTGAATCCTGAGACTTAACTGCATGGAAAAACTTGGGTTTCTGCGTTACAAGCGTTCAGTATTGTCTAATCTTCGATGCTTAATGAAGTATAATAATATGTTTATTCTTAAGATTTTTATTTTCTATTTCAAAGTACATATTTTTTGTTGACATTGCCTCCTTCCTTTTTGGCTTCATCTTTTTTTAGCCTCTTACGTGGTTGGCGAAAAGTTAGTGAAGATGCTTGGCCAGTTGGTGCTAAAGAGTTGGATTCATCAAGTGGCCATATTAGAGATTCAACAGACAATCAATCAAATGTATCCTCAGTTATCAGTAAACATAATCCACCTGTCCCTTTACCAATTGATATGCTAAGTAATGTAAGTTATTTCCTTTTTAAATACATGCACCCATCATGTATGTATGCTATGCTTTGATGTTTTATTATAGACAGGCTTATAAACACAACGCATCAGTTGTACTTCGAACAGAGAAATTTCTGTCCCATGGTTGTCACCTTACTATTCCAGTCGGATTTTACTAGCTGTGCTGTTTCTTCGCCTAGATTAGGAGAAAGCTATTGTTTTGATGCGAATGATTTCATCTTGATGCAGAGTATGAAAATAATTTCTCCGTATATTAGCATGTCATTGCAGTGATAGCATTTCTAGAAATGCTATCTTTCTTATCCACTAATTGACCGCCAAAAATGAATACAATAGGATAAAATTCATATCTAAATCGGTGTTCGGAAACAGGTAATCAGAAATGTGGAACAGAAACAGAAAGCTGATTCTGGAAATTCCTAGCTGAGAGAAGTAAGTAAATGGAAACCGTTTGAGGTCGGAGATCAGGTGAAATGTAAAGAATGAAAATATATGTCAGGAGGTGAATATGGTAGAAGAAAACTGCTCCCGAAGTGGGAAGGACCATACATGGTTACTGAGAGACGCGGTTCAGTTTATACCATCAAAGGAGGGGACAAAAAGAAAAGAGTAAACACCAGCCCACTTCAAAAATGGAAGCGATGTGAAAAAGACCAAATATTGCGTGAACACCAAGAGAAAAGACAGCACCAAGACGACCAACACGGTTGCAAGCCCGAAATTTTGAAGGTGGGTTCAGTGTAGTGGGGTTCGCTGATCAGAATGGATATAGGTACCATATGTTGAGAGAGCGGCAGAAATCATAGGGAATTACCAGCAATGGGTGAAGATTCTGCCCAGAGAAACGCGACAGACTATGCGGGCGTATTAAGAGGAAATCAAGATAGTAGCAGAAGAGGAAATGAAGTACATTATACAACTGACTGTCTTAGTGGAAGGTGTACAGTGTTTGACGACTAATATACAAGATGTCAATAAAAACATTTCTTCCTTCATCTCCGTCTTGTTGCTCCCTTCAGTATATCATCCATGATTTCACTTCAATCTTCCATTGTTTTAATGTTTCTTGTTAAGAATGTCGAATCCATCGCTTTCCTTGTGTGTATTGAGTTTTTGTTAAATCCAACGTTCTCATTATTTTAACAATTTTTCGATGTCAATCATCTTCACTACTCTTTTTCTTGTGTTTTACTTATTGGCTCCACCGGCATTTCCAGCTGGTAATCATTTTCATTTTCTAAGTGATTCCTTATATCTGTTTATTCTCTTAGGGCCTTATATGTCCTTTCATATAATGGTAAACTGACTTTTACTTCACTGATTTCAAATCATGTCACCATGTGTCTCCGACTATTGATATCTATTGCCTAGAGCATCCCATCCAGACAGCCTACACCTCTTGTCAGGGCTCATACCAGCAGTCAGAAACTATGGACTGGTGCCACGTCGTAGTCTGGTTACACTTAACGTAATCCTACTGTGGTTAATATTGCGTGTTGATGGAGGTGATGACTGAGCATTCGTAACACATGTCAATTTCAGTCGATGAAAGTTCACTTCATGAACTTAATTGCCTTCTATGCTTAATACCCTACACATGTACACATTTCTCATGTTATGGTTAGTGATGGTTTGAAACCTTGTTAGCATTTCTTGCTAAGTAGTGTATATGAATATGTAAATTATTTTACGTAAAGGCGTAGTACGGGTCCGATTTGTCGTGATATCATGGAGACGTTAAATGAGATTATCTTCCTCTTTAAATGTTGAACAGATTTATAATTTTTTTAAGGTTGGAATTCACGATGGACTGTCATCAGTTGGAGGAACATTGGAAACCTGGGAGCACTGGGCAGCTGTTTCATCCTGGTGTGGAATGTGCTGGCCACGGGACCTGAAGGTCATTATTTCGATCCCCGGCGGGGTGGGGTTATGGGTGCTGAACAGTCCCATACAAAACAGCTGTCCAGTGCGCTCAGGTTTCCAATATTCGTCCAAATAATGCCAGTCCAAGATGAATTCTAACCTAAAAGTTAATTGCTTGTACTTATTAGCCGAAGGTCTACATATGGTATTGCGCCCTCTGCATTTAACCTTAGAATTGTTGGAATAGCTGAATGTTATTCGCAAGTGTCATCAATGCAAAAGCAAATGGATTTTCAACACTTAGAAGCTAATAACAGCTGTATTCCTCATGCATATACACACCTTGGCTAATTAGTCAATCAATTGAAATCGATGTAGCACTTGGTATCACTGTGTAACTATCCAAATTGTCACACGTGATATAATCGTATTAAGGTAGAAGTCACCAAGTTGAAAAATAGAGAAATGAAAAAGAAAACTATCAATGTGATAGAAGGTCATTAATGAATGGAGCAGTAGTGAAATTCAGTGCGTCAATTAAGATTAAGTTAGTGTGTGGTTGCATCTTTGCCACTGAGATCGATTCTGAACAATATGGTCGTTTCCGATTATTGATCTTCGCAATTACACAAACCTTAACGAACATGTCTGCATTTCAATATGTGACTCAAAAAAATCTGGCAGACTTCATGAACTGATGTCATATCTTAGTCTAACCCTCCTTTACTTTTTTGCTGTTTGAACCTACTTTAGTTAACATTGCGCAACTGGGAAAACGATGACTAGGCATGCGTAGCCACATGTCTATGCAGATTCATAAAGTCATCAACTGGTGCTACTCTTCTATCTAAAAATATACGCTTGACGTTTACGCTACTGACGTGACGGCCACATGAAATACAGTATATGCTATGAAAGCTACGGTGATTGAACACTTGAAGGCTCCTCAATTCCTCTACTTTTAATGACCATGTTTTATAGGCGTATAGTATAGAACAGAGCAGACTGCAGCGCCGTACCCCCGATCATTACGGTGGCACCGTAAGTGAAATAATTCGGTATAGGACAAGTGAGCCCTTTTCATAGGTTCCAAGATTTCATCGGCCACTGAAAAAGAAACATTCAAGTTCCAATTTATTTCGCGTTGCTTACATTCCATCCGTGTTTTGTTCTTTTCTCTCTTTCTTTTTCCTTGAAGTCATCACCTTCTTTGTATGGTATAATATATGAAATGTTAAATTGCCAAATCCACTGACGAATAATTTTGTCTATGTCATGTGAAGTAATGATCTTTTTAGATCAGTTTTTTTAGTATGTAAGTGACCAAAGAAATAATTCACATGATCCTACCGTTCTACAAATGTTATCGACCATTGTGTTAGAAAATTGATCGAGAATACAGTAATTGTACTTCTATCACAGGTTATAGAATATAGTCTGTGTGAATGAAATATGCCTAAATATGTCATGTAATTCACAGTGGAAAGTGTTCTTTCGAGATTTACGTTAAAGAAGGGTGGAATTTGTAAAATTACAAAATAGAATTCATTTTCTCAGGAGTATCATTTGACTATCTGAGATAGACGTTGTTTGATAGACTATTTATACTGGGTGATGATTGAAGGTGAAATGAAATTTTGAACTACGGCGGGATTCGAACCAGTGACCACCAGGTTTCCGTCATAACGAGGTCCGACTGCTGAGCAGACTTTTATTTCACTTCAATCACCAAAGGTTGTTTTGTCCGACTACCATGTGAATTCGTGACGCATTACTACTGCTCGATCATATTCACACTGGCTACCTAGTCAGGACTTCTCAACCCAATCGAAATCTTACTGAATCAGAGAGGAAGAGCATCATATTGATTATCATTTGACTATCTGAGATAGCCGTGGTTTTGCAGACTTATATTTATACTGGGTGATGATTGATGGTGAAATGAAAATTTGGACCGCGACTGGATTCGAACCAGCGGTTACCGGGTTCCCATACCTAAGGGTTCATAAATGAGTTTCTCATTAGCAAGGATAATTAGTGGACCATCGAATTCTTAAATATTAACACTGACTGTATTATAAAGTAATTGGGGTTAGATAATGAGTTTGAGATCGAATTTGGTTAAAGTGGCCATATACTGTTAACATTGCGAACTATTTAGAGAAATTTTCATACTAACTACTGTTCATTTTATTCAGTAGTATGGTTTTTTCTGTAACTCGTAATTCACAAATTCTTCTTACTCAAGAATATGTGTTGTTTTTGCCTATCGATTCTCTATCCCAAACTGTATATGTAGGTGTTTTTGCGATGGTTAGTGTTTATTGTTCTATCTGATTCACTCACTCATTGCTTGATAATAACGGAATGAAAATAGTCACCAGCTTTTTTTCATTTCCTAATCCAAATATGTGGAAAAAGTGGACCGCAGGACATTGTAGAGGTAATGGATTAGATGCTCTTTTTAGTTTGTGGATATGCTTTCCATAAGAGATGTTTGAAATTACTATCCTTCTTTTTTTTAAATCTTAATTTTAGAATCGAAATGCTGCACGCAACAGTCGTGCATATGAACAGTCATCGTGTGCATCAGAATCGCCACAAATCCCAATTATACGTAAAGATGAAGTAAGTTATTAGTCCAACTGGCTTAAATCTTTGTTTTGTTCACCTGAGTTCTTGGAAGCTACATATGGTATGGGACTCTGATACGGGTTGTTTGATAATGGCGAAAAAACTGGATGCCAAGCAATGAACACAGGAGTATTTTCTAACCAGCTGTTCCTTTCCCCCTTTGTTAGCGGAGGAAACATTCATTGAGTGGAATAATTTGTGAATTCAATCAGTGTAGTCCAAAACTAGATCAAAGCTCCTGCATTTATATATCTTTTCACAAAACATCAGAACGAGGATAACAAGTAATGTGTTTAAACAAATACCATCAAAGACATATGAGCGGCAAAAATGAATTCAAAATTTATATACACCGCTATGCATTGTCTTGGTGTGCATGCACAATTTCAACTTGCAGAAGATATAAATCTCAGCAAATATAATAGGCATTTACATCTATACTAAGTAGCTTTTTCATTCATCCTCTTATTGTATGTATGTTTATCTCCCCGACCCTAACATCTGTTAATCAATGAAACTGTAACTAGTGAATTCAACCAAGTAGAACATGAGGACAGTTACTCAATGACCACCACCGCAGATGAGAAGAGAAGGAATATGTCAATGGTTATTGAAAATGATTTAAATTTTGATAAAAAAAGTGTATAAGTCTGCACGGTTATCAGTTTCGAGCCTCAACATCAAGGGTCTTCAGCCGCGGACTCCTCTTATCTCGAGGCCTCCAGCCAAGCGACCTACGATTCTCCCATGCTTATTTGACTCAGACCAATAGTCAGAGGCTTCATAAACTGTTGAAATTTGTTTATCTGGCCACTATTGACTTGCTTTAACTGAAATCCACTTCAACTTGAATGGTGCATCACCGTGTGTTGAGGCTACCTCAGTCTATAAAAGTTCACAAACTCCATCGTCTGAGTTATCTTCTTGAAGTATTGTACAGAATGTTTGGAAACTAAGATTGAGAAACCTAAAAGCCTAAGCGAGATACATTCAAAAAGTTGGAAATAAGTAAACACCGGTTAATAAAACTTCTCATCTAATGTGTAGTGGGACGTATTCACCACGTGATTAACGCAGAAGTCAGGTATGAAGTCTTAGAGAAGGGAACCGCCATAGACTGAGATGGCTAGGCATGTGCTACGTATGCCTAACCACCGTCTGCCTTATAATTTTGGCCGAAGTAGGTTTTCACTGGAAAAAGACTCGTGGCCATCAGACTAGGACAGAACACCACTGTATGAAGTCCTAGACTGTTCGTTTGAGACATGTAGGCTGATATAGACCAGCCGATTGGAGTCCACAGGACAACAGAAATCAGCGGTTGGTGACTCTAGTGCATATGACTCAGAGTCGACGTCAGTGGCGCAGTTGTATCCATACATTATCTTAATCGTTATACTGAGTGCAGCATTTTCTCATCCCTCCTTCTCCTTTACTACTTTGTAGTCCTTTTCACCGATATTTCTTCCTTTCTTCAACTTTCATCCTACTGCTTTGTTACTTGATGTACTGATAAGAGATGTGGCAACTTCAGTCGTTGATTGAGAATGGGTGCAACGTGGGGGGAGGAAATAGTAGTGTTAGACCTAAGGGTTCATATAGGCAGAACTCGAACAATTCATCTATTTTCGTTATGAAGTCACTTGTCTAGTGTGATGATAGTCAAGTATGTTACCGAGCATTTGTAATCATACCTAATTACACTAGGAATTGAAATGATAGTCAGAAATACCATAGACATAATACATGAACTTTAAATATCCTTTTAACTAATCGTATGCTGTTGAGTATGTGTAGCTGGAATTCTGTTTCTTCAATCTACTGTGTCTGACTAAATCATATTACTTCTTACGCATTTCTGAAGAGGTCATCAAACCAAAAGTTTCAAAATTTTCGTCAGGCAAAAAAGTTTAACATTGCAAAAACTTTTCAGTAATAGATCCTCTAAAGCCGTACTAGATTGAACTTAGTGCGGTCAAGTACTTTAAATCAGTTAAATTTTAAAACAAGGCGTAGATTTCAGCGACAGTTTGTCACTCGTTTTTGACATTGTCAAATTCTTTATGGGTCACTATAAAGAGGAGGGGGGGGGGAGCAAATATGTTTAAAGTGAAAGTAGGTAGTTATGGAAAATGAGTTGCATAACTATCGTAATAGAAAGTTAAAAATGTCAGCTACTTAGCTCATACGTAGTATATCGACAACAGCGTACTACCTATGATACCTCTAAATCCTAAGTACCATTCTCTGTATGACATCGAAAGTGTCTGCTGTGATATACAGTTGTGAATTATAGTGAAGTAACACTATCCAGTACCACGTGATATTCATTGGTCAACTGAACGCATGACTGGTTAATTAGCTATTATAAGATTTTAAAATGAAAGAGTTTCGCATGTTTCAGCTCATAAAGCCGACATCTTTTGTACACTGTTACCCATACAAAAGGGATCAGAGACACAGGCCTTCTATGTGAACATCTTTCAGTAGTAACATTCATGTAGTAGAAAATAACACTATATTCTGTTATATTATTTGGTGCTTAAATGTATTTTGACTGTTCCAGTTACAATCTGTGCTTGTCGTTCATGGACTCTCTCTCTCTCTCTCTGTCTCTCTTTAGCCTACTCGTTAGTGTATCGCCTTATCTCAGTAGGTACTAAACCAAATGTCATTCACTTTACTTTTTTCTCGTCCATAATTTCGTCTGCTATTTTCTAAAGGTCTATGTATCATTAAGCAAAAACATGTTTATAATATTGTCATCTTCAATTATGAAAGCTTCATTGTTACAGTAGAGAAGTTTCTCATTGGCCTCTAAGCGTTCACCTGTCATGTTCCACCTACTTTGATCTGAGCAGCCTGTTAGTATTATGAGCTTTCACACAACATGTTTGACTCATAGGCTATTACATAATCATTTTTATTGGCTTTAATTACATTAATACTCCATCGCATTTTCTTATTCAAGACTTTTGAATGCACATAATATCGGTGATTATAGTTCAAAAAAATAAAGTTACTCACCTATTAATTATAAGAAATTTGTGCAAAACATTTTAAGAACTGAACTGAGCTGAACTCAGCATATCGGGTGACAGCTTTTCGATCAAGTGTCATAGTTAAGTATGTAGGTGTATCAGACCCAGATAATCAATGTCAGTTGATCAGAACTAAGCTGAACACTGCTTCAGTTTGTCGGCTGATTGAAATCAATAAGCCTCGACTATTCAGAATAGAACTGTGTAAATACGCATTAGGGTTTTTAACATCCTCATTCGTCATAAAGTCTGAGATTGATAAGGTTAAATCATGCTATTTAAATAACTTGAGAAGGATGTCATTAATCAGTCATTTCTACATTCATTGAGATTTAGTTGGTCGGCATAAACAGTTGACTTTCAACCAGTGGGGTATCTGTTTGAAATCGCTCCATCTAACAACTTGCCTCATAAAATAGATGCGTATCATTGCCTACTGCGAAGACATCCACGTGGTTGCTGGGTTACACGTTGATATTTTTCACATCTCACGTGACAGATGTCTACAAAAGACTACAGTTAACTGGCCAGTAGAACATTCGTTGGTACAGTTCCACTTATAATTACATGAGGTCATCTAACCAAATTATCTGGCCCAAATTATACTTTAGCCTTGATTTGTTCATTATATATATATATATATATATATATATATATATATATATATATATATATATATATATATATATATAGTGTTCCGGCCGTTAGAAGTGGAAAATATGAAGCTATTAAAAGGGTTTTGGTCAGAAGTATCTTCATGGCATTGCTGGCATTCGGTGGAATTACCGTATGAACAATGTTGAAGGCAGGAGAAGGATACTAGGTGAAACAGGCAAGTCGATTGTTAAATTTGTGAACCTTAGTCGACTGAAATGGCTTGGATATGTACTGTGCATGCCGAGTTACCACCTACTTCGATGTCCCGTACTTAGGGGAAGTTGGATTGGGTTGGAAAAGGATTGAGGCTGACCAGACCAAGCAGTCGCACCAGTGTATCAAGTCTCTTACTGTCAGTTTGAGTTTTGTAGGAAGGTGTAGAGTGCTTGGATAGGATTCTCGAAACCATAGGAATCAGTGATTGATGACTAACTCCTAATGACATGGCTGAAAATCGGTGATAATAGCACAGGTGTATTCACATCTTGACGTCTTTTAAAGGTTGACGATTTTCGCTATCCATTATCTCCAGATTGTTTTTTCTCTCACACACACTTTGATACCACTGTAAAGCGTACCAACTTGAGTTGATGCACCTGTTGTCGGTCGATCGATGTATATATGAATTATAGTCATTATATTAAGTAAGGTATTTAGGAATGTTACCTTGGTGTTCTCCTCATTGGTTTACTTTCTATGTCATATACCATGCATTTTACTGCTTTCATTCAATTATTTTGTCTGTTGTTAACAGTCTCTTATTCATAGTTGAATGGTTAAACTTTTTAAAAATTTTCTTTTTCTTTTCTTTCCGAACAAGTCGTCGAATATTTAGGCATTTCAGCTACGCTTTCGTGTATAGTATCAGGTGCTACACAAAATGTACACTGTCTGCTTCTACTTTTACCTTTGGTTAAAGTTCTCCTCATCTAGAATGTAACCAATGAATACTTATCGTTTGAATTTATACCTAGCCATCGACTGGTTGATTACTCTTATTGCCTTCATATAAATACACATATATATGTATATTTTTAACTTTCTATATTGTACCTCAAATTACACCGATGCTTAGCAGTAGCTCAGATTTTTTCATTTTTTTTAATGATTTGAGATGACAGAAATCTACAGTTCGCCTTGCAGGAGTTACAGTCATTATTATTATTATTATTATTATTATTATTATTATTATTATTGTTATTATTATTATTATTATTATACGCACGCAGTTATCTCTGTTAGAACAGTTATTTGTTCCCTTATGTTTCTGTTCACTATGCTACTACTCGTACTGCTCTTTCTCTTTGTCTCTTCCTTCTTCATCGTCCTTTCTCATGTACATTTACAGATAATGGTAGGCTTCCTGTTGTAATGGCTATATATGTTTCTCTTCCAATCCCCCTACTCTCTCTCTCTTTCTCTGTCTATTTATTTGTGTATGTGGTTATGTACAGAACATTTGATAGTTTCCCAATTAAGTGGAGAGAATTTTTAAAACCATGATGTCAGATTTTCTTTCGTTTCTGTTTCTTCATTCTTTATTTTTCTACACTAACTACAAATTGTTTGTGATAACAAACAGCAAATATGTCCATGTCTTCTGCTATGTTTTTGAATGCTTATTAATGGTCATGCATAATTAACTCTTGTTTATACGTAATTTTTATGATTATGCTGCCTACTACTACTACTACTACTACTACTACTACTACTAATTCTGTTATTGAGATTATATGAATAGAAATTTCGTTTACGCACAATTTTACATGGTTTGTGAATTTATGATAAGGATTTTCTTCTTTAACATGAATGTTCTGACGATTTTTTTTTAGTGACCAGGTAAAATATGCTTGTGTGCCTTCTAAACCTGAGAGAGAGGAGCTTGTTTACAGTTATGAAGAACTTGATTATTCACCTTCTATTTTGTCTTCTTGTTAAGAATATAAAGCGTGGTTGTGATCTCCAGTTGAAAAATGTAGACATTGGTTGTATTATTCCTAATGTGATTGTATTATGAATAATATAGATCCATTCAACAATCCATCAGCTAATAATGAAGTTAGTTGAGAAACAGATTTATGTAAGAGTAGAACTTAGGCACTACGGTTAAGCATAACTTCATATTAGATTGCTTACTTGATATGCCACTCAGTGACACAGTATCATTGACTGGATGATGTTTCGAGCATACCTTGTTACTCATAATCATATCAAAGTCATCACACAACTTTTCAATTTCCATCATTCCTGTTACATGTGTTACTTGTAGCTGAATCAAGACTTGGAGACCATAAATTGTCAAAGATAATTAATAGTGGGATTTAGAAGTACATTATGTGGTAATTATTTTACTGTGAAGCTTTTCCCATCTCATCAAATTGTGGTCAATCATTCAATCTAAGTTGGACCACTTCCTGACTCTTGTTAACTGTAAAATGCATTTATCAGTTCATAAGGTCTTGGGAAGGATGACGAGATGTTTGTCGACTAAGATTATGTAACACATACCCTAGAGTCCTTACCTCGAAGATTCAGTTTCACTTAAAAGTGCGATAGTGCATCACTTGGTCGCTACACTGCAATAAGTCAACACATTGAAGGTAATGAATAGAAACGGGACTTCACATCAACCTCAAACTACCGTCGGTGTTTCTGTCTCACGAATTCACCACCAATTTTGTGTTCGATAGACTGCAGTTATCGAAACATATCGACGATTTCCCCACACATTTAAACTCACCAGTAGGCGCTATCCATTTACTCACAAGGTAGAAAATGAACAAGGAGCATCACCTATATTGAATTGCAGGATAAAACGAGGGACAGACGGTGGTTTTGATGCTACTGTCCACAGAAAACACGTTCCAACTGGTATTTAGACTTGAAGTCATTTCATCGAATGTTAAGGTAGATTAAGGCAGATTTAGTCAAATGTCTAAATGATAGAGCTAGAAAACTGACTAATCAGTGCAAGGACCTTAACAAGGGACTGATATCTTAGAGATAGTATAGTTCAGTTGTAAGACCAACAATGACATGAAGATAATTAATTGAGTAATCGAGTGGAGAATTCACCATCGAAAGACTTCATGAGTAGTGCTGATGCCTGGTTGACAGTTTGTATTTTCTGTGCCATACTTCTTGGATACCCTAATCAAAGCATTTACTTGTTTGGAGAGAGCAATCTACTGGCCTTCGGCTTGAAGTCCCACCCATAATGTTATGGAGCATCATGAAGTACTGCATTCATATAGTTGTCGGTGACTGAGGTAGATTTTTACACCATTTATCCTTTCTGGCTGGTAGACCCCATGTGCGCAATCGTTTTGGAATCAGGATTTCCTAAATTCCCTATTCTTACGCTCCGTGTGCATCATTCTGATGACAGCACTGAACATACATTAAGTGAACAAGAAGAAGCATTCTGGTTCATATTTCTTGGCATGTTTTTAAGAAATTCAAGCTAAAGGTACCACAAGTATTCGGCATTGTCACTGTTCATCACCTGTTGGTTACCAGGCACAATGTAGACTGTCTTAGAGCATTCCAGGTAATCAATAAACGGGAAAGTCTTAACTTGGTGCGATTTGTCGGAGCCATTATCAATCAAAAGATGACAGTTGTCAATCTCTAACCGCCTTGCTGATTATAGTTTTCCAAGACGTCTCCAAAATGTTGATTACATCTGTTCTTACGCTTCTTCTCTTCTGTAATATTTCAAACTAGTCTTTTGTTTTCTGAACACTGTTTGTTTCGTTCCTCCAGCTACTGCGAATTCATCAACTTCTTACAGTTACGTAATATATGAAGTCAGTCTTCCATGTCTAGTTATTTTTTGAATAGGGGTGATGACTGAAGGTTAAAGGAAAATCTGTACCGTGGTAGGATTCAGACCAGCTGTCCCATAAGTATTTAGTTAATTTTTTCTTGTTACTCAATTTCCCTTATAAGTAGGCTACTACATCTAAGAAGATTTCTGTTATAGGAAAACTTCAGTGCTGTGGAATCAACTGAATATTCTTGAAAAATTAAAGTGGATATTCACACCTATTTATGAGAATAACTACTGTTTTTCACTTGGCTCGAATGTAGATGAACATAATCCATCAAATGGTAAATTTTTACTGGTAAAAAAGAACTTTATGAAGTAAATACTGATGAAGTCGCCTAGTCTGGTGATGAAAAAATGTCTAATAACAAACCTCAAAGCTCGGGAAACACTAGACAGTTGTCAGGACAAACTACGCTGCATACTGAGCTTATTCTACCTTGATGAATAAGACTCACCAAGATGACCGACTGAAATACACTGGGGAACATATTTTACTCATTAGATTTATCTTCTAGGGTAAGTAATCTAATGATTGATTCTTTAAGTATGTTACAACTAGTTTATCAGTCTTTACAATGACATCTGACAGTCTTCAAAAGTTTGCTCAATATATAAAAATCCGGTGCAAAGCCGTTTTCATTGACTGATGATTATTGCGATGAATTAAATGGCACAGTATGGACATTCGTGTGTGTGCTCATGACAGGGCTACTCAGTCATTAAGTTTTGATAATAGATGAAGGTCATTCTTCGAGAGGTCACTCTTTTATAAGCAATTTATTGTCTATTATATATTGTAGGGAGCAAAAATCAGTACCAAGAGATGACAAATCTTGATTACTTGATACCTAACTTAAAGTGAAAGCTGACTACATTTAAAACCTTCTATAAACATCAGCTTCTTCGGTCTGAATGTGCACCTTCTATCAGACGGAAGTTATCAGTACAGCATTTAGAGACGTTGAAAATACTCGTCCTGTCTTCAGCAATATAAGAGAAATTTAAGAGAACAGCTCATAGAATTTGATTATTGTTCCTCGTTTTATCTCTGGTGGAATACTGAACGTTTCTGTCTTATTCTACTCAACTTAGATGTAAATATTCGAGACACTTGAGTTATAATCTTGTGTATCGGTTATGCATTGTGGAAATCCAGGACCCTCTTCAAAATCTGTTCAGCAAAATAACAAACAATAGTTAGTGTAAAGCAGTTCATCTTTAGGAATATTTTGCTCTACATCAAGAATGTCTGAGAAGATGTAGACCTATGAGTTCATCTGGATAAGATCATAATGACAAGGAAATAAACAAGATCACAATAGATCATCTTGTGAAACCTTGTTATACAAGAACAAGAATAATATGATAATCAAATCTAACTGACTATATTTCAGTATACGATTCTGACTAGAACAGTATAAAAATCTCACAATATACATGCTAAAATGCACCAAGATAACTTCAGGAAGGTCACTGTCGACAATATAATAAACAGGATAGCTGATGTAGGCAAGGTTTTCAACATACCTATAAAGGAAATAAACATTCTCCAATCAAGCAAAAATTGATTTCAGAAATTTGTTCATCACATGTCATTAACTACTGTCACGGCTTCCTAACTTGTAACTGTTTGACTGAACAACTACGATGTCAACACTACACAAGTTTCTAACCCGTGTTTGTGTCACTGACAGCCTTGGGTGATGTGTGACTACATTTTTAAAATTTTTTCTTTGAGTTTCTAGTGAAACATAGGGCTTCAGTAGCGCATCACCATTTCACTCTCTTCTCTGCTCTCTTTTGAACCCGGCTCCAAGACTGTCCATAGGCTTTCATTTCTCCCTCACACGATTTCCTTCATGTCACTCTCGGTCGCCCAACTCGTTGTTTCCCATTTGCTTTCCACTTTACAGCCCGGCCTGACGTGTAATGTCCCCAAATGGCCTTCTCAGGGTATGCCCAATCGAATTCATCACTACTTTCTTCTGCATATTTGTTGGGTT